TTTTTTTTAATCAAAGAAATTTGGTTGATTATTCCTTTGTTGTAACAATACTACCTGTCTTTTTATGCGGTTGGAAAGCCTGTTTCTTTCCCCTTAAGTTGTGCCACTGTTACGTGCCAAGAGGTGTGGCTTTGCTTTTGTGTTCTATTTATCTTTCAGGTGTCAAGCCTCCACCTATTGGCCAGTTCGAAGTGATTGGCATGTGTCTATTGGCCAATCACACGCCGAGGATTACTACAAATGAGCTGCTCCCTGGCCAACTGGTGGCTGCTGGCTTCTGCTATGACAAACATTTGCGAACAGGCTTCTTTATATTATGTGTGGTGGGAGGCTGGACAGGTAAGCTGGGGTACCTATACACTGATTGCAGGCATTAAACTGTTAGACACACTAGGGTATGCGGTTGATGCCACTTTTGTATGTTTTCACTGACCTTTTGTCAAGCAGCTGGGTAGGCCTTTTGTTTTGCATTTTTGTTTTAGTTAGGCCCTGGGAGCTCTCGCCCTCTTTTTGTTTTATTACTTTCTGGTAATAAAACCAGAAAGTAATAAAACTGGTAACAAACTACGCTGTAATGGACTAAAATCTTGCAGTACCATAAGGTACTGCTTGCCCACAACCACACCAGCAAAGAGTACTCGCGCATGCTGCCCACTCTGTGACCTACCTTCACGCGACCAATAGAAACAAGGCGTACAGCCGGGCTAAGCTCAACCACACAAGGAACTTTATGGCACAAGTTTACGTGCATATGGACCTCCGGAGCCCTTGAGTAAATCATTCCATTCAACACATTGGCTTCAGAGGCCACAGAAAATCTGTGGAGAGGTTAGGTTTCACACTGTTATGTTTAACACTTCCCTAATAATGCAGAACCAGGTACAGTCGGGTCAAGTGTGATAATGAACACCTGTTGGTGCACACTCAATGCTGAGAGGCACCTGCTCTTCATCAGCTCCATTGTTTTCCTCATGACAGGGCACACAAACAAAAAGTCACATAGTACAGTGAGTTACTGAGGACAGGTGATCATATTTTTATTTTTATACATATTTTACATGTAACCGTTGGTCAAGAAAGGCTTGAACTACTGGCTAAAAGGAAATTGAAACATGCAATAAGCAGAAGAGACGCAAAATGTGTCAAACGGAGACAAAAACTACTGCAATAAAAAACAAAAAGATACAGAGAATATCTACAAAAACAAAACTGTTCAAAAACTAAGATGAGATATAAAACACAAGCAAAGATGCAACAAAAACAAAACTGTGTCACACAATCACACAACGAGATTTAAAACTAAACAAGGGAAAAAAACATGCAGAGTGATACAAAATCAGGTAAAATATCAGCAGGCTGCAGAGTCAGAGACACAAAGCAAACAGAAATCATATCTGCATGTACTTATGAACTACTGTTTCATAATCTGTGTCCTGTACAACAGAGTCTGAACCTGTGCCAAACAT